CCCCTGCGCCTGTGAAAGGAAGTGAAACGCCAGCTGGCTCCTCCTCCACAGGATGATCGAGAGACCCTTTCATCCTCCTCTCAGACCGCCCACAGACGACGGACCTCGAGGAACATGTCCCATCGTGTCCTAGTCTTAAAGACGTTGTAAAGATTCCCGAAGACTTGCCGGAAGAGTGACAAGGAGGAAGGAAAGCACCGAGAGACCGAAATTAACATGATAAGGGAAGGCTATCATGGCCGAGTACAGCCGTCTTAAAGATTTTTTTTTTTTTTTCCTTTTCTATCATATTTCCTTTTTTCCTTTTCTAAACATTTTTTTTTCCCCTTTTCCTTTTCTTTTTTTTTTTTCTGCTTAAGACTTATTTGGTCTGTAATCTCTTTTGATAATGGGGGGCGGGAAGTAAACAAAAAATGAGATATTGGGTTGTTGTGTCTCTTTCTGTGTGTGTGCGATTTCAACATGACATGACATGACATTTTTTTATTTTGAGGGGAACGTATGCTGTCTGTACACACAACAGACTATTATATGATATCACCCAGTGAGTGTATGTGTGTGTTGTTATGTATGTATATCTATACTATTCTATACAATATATACATATATATTATATATATATATAATATTATTATAATATATATATATATATCTACATATATATATCATATTAATATATATATATGATATATAATATGATATATATGTGTGTTGTGTGTGTGTGTGTGTGTGTGTGTGTGTGTGTGTGTGTGTGTGTGTATGTGTTTATGTGGTGAGTCGTGTGAATGAATAAACTGCGTGCATTTCCCCTCCGTTCCAATACCCGACGACCAGGAATCCGCGCCAAGATGCACCGCCCCTGGCACTGGCGGTGGCACGGCCTTCCAAACCTTCTCCTTGGCTCTCTCAGGAGGAATATTTGTTACTAACTTAGCTTCAGCGGTCGTAATGTTTTTTTTCCTTGGTCGCTGTTGTCAAGATCTTTGAAATTAAGAGTAAATCACACAGCAGGTGCGTCCGTAAAATGGGGGGAATATATATGTTACTCGTATGTTTATGTACATGTTTATATAAACAATATCTATATATATAATATATATATATATATATATATATATATATATATATATATTAATGAAACACACACACACACTCACACACACACATATGTAGATAGATAGATAAGAAAGAGAGAGAGAGAGATACATATACATACGTATATAGATAGATAGATAGATAGACAGATACATCTATACATACATACATACACACACACATATATATGTACACATTTACATATATATATGTATAATACACATAGCATGTATTCATTTATACACACCCGCACACACACACACACACACACACACACACACACACACACACACACACACACACACACCACACCACACACACACACACACACACACACACACACACACACACACACACACACACACATTATATAATTATATATATATATATTATATATATAATATTATATATATACCATATACACATATCTATACCTATATGAAAACATACACACACACAAATTCCTCATCCGAATTCAATGAAAATGAAGAGAGTGCCTGAGATCAGCGCCGACGTAACCACTCCAAAGCCGCACCACGAGCAGCCTAACGACCCCATGGCATCGACGCCCAATGCCACGAGCGACAGGCACGACAACCTCAGGAACAGCGCCTGGCAATAGTGGCTTTTCTTCGGCACTGGGGCTTCAGACTCAAGGGGAGCGATGAATGGCTCGAAGGAGGAGGAGGGAGGAGGGAGGGAGGGTGGGTGGAGAGGAGGGAGGGGGAGGAGGGAGGAGGGAGGGAGGGAGGGAGGGAAGGGAAGGAGGAAGAGAAGGGAGGGAGGAGGGGAGGGAGGAGAAGGGGAAAGAGAGGGGAGGGGAGGGAGGAGGAGAGAGAGAGAGAGAGAGAGAGAGAGAGAGAGAAGAGAAACGAGGAAAAAAAAAAGAATAAAAAAAATAAAAAAAGATACAAAATACAACAGATTGGCAGAGATAGATAGATTGATTGACTTACATCTCAAAGGGATGAAGTAACTTAGGTTATCCTCTCCCTTATCTTAATAAGTCACTGTGTGGGTTCACAATTCACATACAAAATTGGTATAATGACATTTTAGAGAGAGAGACGAGAGAGAGAGAGAGAGAGAGAAGAGGAGAGAGAGAGAGAGAGAGAGAGAGAGAGAGAGAGAGAGAGAGAGAGAGAGAGAGAAAGTGAGAGAGAGGGTAGACACGGACAGACAAAAAAAAAACAGACAAATATAGAGACTAGAAGAGGTAGACAGACAAACTGATTGACAGAGAGAGAGAAAAAAAGAAAGAAAGAAAGAAAAAAATACTGCATATAGATAACCAAAGACTTGTCCCCGAAACGACAACACTCACTCACCAAATACACTTTTTACCCACGCACATTTCCCCTTTAAGTGTATCAACGTTATCTCTTTGTCCTTTTGTGTTCTCTTCACCTCCTGCCACAACCGCCCCTGTTGCTGTATCCGAAATAACGTTATCTGGCTCATCCTCCTCAGGTCATTGGGTTTTGTTTATGGTATTCTGTTCCTCGACTCTCTTCTTCTCTTTCTCTGGCTCAGCCTCTGTCTCGTTCTCTTTCTGGTTGTTGTTTTTTCTCTCTGTC